ACACGTTTTTTGTTCAGCAGGATAATCTCCACATTTTAACACCACTCACTTACCAAGCGTAACTGCAATCACCAGAAGGCTAACGTCAGGCTATAAAGGAACTACAGCGCGGTCACATGACTTCACGCCACCACCGCTAAGCTAAATGCGGCTAATGTTCGGAGTGATGACGTTTATTAGTCTCATTGTTGTTTAACTTGTTGTTAACCACAGAACTCATTTCAGGCATCCAACCAAAAACATATTCAAGTAACATTGACGTAACTCAAGGGAACCAGAAGTGCAAAAATGCTGACTAATACCTGCGTTTTAGGACTCGTTCCTGCACTACTCTACAGTGCACTGCATGTTGCCATACAGTAGGGACACACGTATTCACTCCAAACAGAAACTAATCTAAATACGCGATTTGAGATCCAGTGTGTTTGGATCAGAAAGATGGACGAAGAGAGGATGAAACGGTTCCATGAGGCGAGGTCTCCGCTCTCTGTTTATCTCCCGTCTCCTCCCTCTGTCTGAGGAATGTAAGGGGGAGGCGATGCTTTGTGTCTGCCAAGGCCGTCCCTTTGGATGCCTGTCTCAAATCTCCCGTTATATAGCAGAAACACACACACTCATATTCTCACTCTCACCACGCAAACACAACCCGCCTCTCTGTGTCTCTTTTTGTTTCTGTTTTTGTGTCTCTCACTCGCTTCTGCTACACCGACACACACACCGACACACACACCGAAACACACACACACACACACACACACACACACACACACACACACACACACACACACACTAAAAACTAAGACCTGCATCGAAAATATTATTTAAGTAAAAGGATAATCAACAATGTATTTAAAGTAATAAAATACCCAATTTTAAATTACATTTAACATAAAATGGATAATTCAAGTTGATTTATAAACCCGTGGCAAGTTTGATTAAGGATCATATTATATAAGCTCTCAAAACATTATTTTAAAACTGTCCTCTTGCTGAATTTGTACCTAACTACTAATAATTAAACAAACCAAAGCTCTAAAGTAAATGTAACCGTGTAAGATGACATGACAGACAGTGATTTGATTGTCTTATGCACGCTGTGGAAAGTGTCGCCTCGAGTACTTCCCATAAACCACGTTCTCCTTTTTAGTATTTATGATCTGTTTACAGACTTCTCCGATAACGCACAGAGCTCTTCTGCCTCTTGTCAGAGTATAACGTTTTATTATTACATCTGCTGACTTCGTCCAGCCTGCGCTATTTCCTCTGGCATCTAGTTTGAAAATGTGTTTTTGAGATAAACAACTGTATGTTGTGATGCTCCTGCTGTCCCTAATATTACATTTTCTACATTTTAATGCTTCAAAATCGAGCGACACAATTTGTAGAACAGACTTGTCAGGTTTTATGAATAAGGGGAGAACGATTGTCCTGCTGTTCCCTCCATTCACCTGTAGAGGGAGCCAGAGGTTTACAGTGTGTTGCTGCAGAGTCGCTGCACAGCTGCTTCACATCACACACACATTCACACACCCAACAATACAAAAAGACATGTTCCAGATCTCTGTTCTGAATGTTGTAAATCTGCAACCAGAAAGCAACAGATTTGGATCTCCTAGAATGAATGTATGTTAAATGTTATTTACAGCATTATAATGACTTTTGAGTTGAGAAGGAAACGAGGCCGGTGCTGTTTTGTGTAACAAGTGACTTCCTCTTTAAGTCATGTAGGAGTCTGAATCCGAAATACTTGAATCCACCCGTAATGAGGAAATGTACAGCGAAGTGAGAGTGCGGAGAAAACAAAAATAAGAATAGCAGAATAAAAAGCATATTTTGTAATCTGTAAGGTAACAGAAACATATCACAAGTCACTTCCTTTTTTACATTTTGTAGGAATCAGGAAGTGAAACTTCTGTGGCGAAACGCCACCCCAATTTTTATCAGCATAAGCCCGGTTCAAGCCTGTGGTCGACCCTGAGTCTCAGGGAGGGGCTTCATTATGTAACTGACACACTTCCTGTAAACCCCACCCGCCTTCTCCCCACACTGCCTTATGATTGGCCGGCTGCGCCTCCACTCCCCTCTTGCTGCTTTTTGATTGGTCGGAGACACTTCCTCCTTCGTTTCAAATGTGGTTCAGATCGAAATGACCCAGATTCTCCTGCCTCTCTCTCTCCTCTCCCCTGGCTCTGTCTGACCCCCCCTCCTGGTAATGTTTTCCACATGTGGTCATGAGGGCATTTGGACATCCTTGTTCCTCCAGTGTGATTGCTTCATGTGGAGGAATGTCAAAATGTAGGCCAGAGATAAATCTGTGAGATCTCATACATTACCACAGCTGCACTATGATTCCATTGCAGTAAAAGCCGCCTCCCCACCACAACACTCAAAAAAAATTACCACACCCGTGCACACTCGATGCAGCCCCCACCCCCCCCCCTCCCATCAGAAACTCTGCACGCTGCTTGCCTTATAAGGGCAGCTGCAGCCTGCACCACTGTTGAAGAGTTACAAAGAAAAGGTATGAATGAATATGCAGGAAGGTGATACCGGGTGGGGGGAGCACCCAAGGGGGAGGAATGCAGTGAATGGGTGGGAGGACAAGATGGGTGGAGTGAATGGAGGTAGAGACAAAAAAAAAAAAGGTTAAAAATAACTGTTTCCAAGATTCAAACTACGATAATACTTTATTGTCAGATCAAGTCTGAAATCTTCAAAGGACAAGGACAAATATTAAGACATGTTTCAAGAACATTCACCATTACACTGTAGACGGCAGGTTCAAGACCCTCTAACGTACCTGGGATGAACTCATTTCAGGACTGACTCAGAAACAGTGCTTCAGTCTAACGTCTCAATAAGCTGCTGGAAATGTACGATAAATGTGTGTGCAACCTTTTGGTCACATTTCAGCCACTCTCGCTTTTATTGAAATCAGACGCCCTTGGGGGGGGGGCGGGGAAGCCACGCCCCGAGGAAGAGTTTCAGCTCGACGTCACCGGCTGTATTTTTAGCCGAGCTATAAGAACTCAGGTGTGTTCCTGCTTGTCAAACAAGTCTCAAACACGCACTCTGTCACTCTCTCTCTCTCTCCTGTGGTGTGACTCTTCCTGGTGTCTAGGTTACCACTAGGGGGCGATCTTCCCCCGCTCTGCCTCCCGGGGCTTTGTCTGACACATGAGTCCGCTTTCTCCCCCTCCTCTACAGAACCACGTTTTACTGATTCATCACCAGAGAGTCTGTTTCATGGACACTCCCTTTATGAATCCAAAAATGTGAACATAGCCTGAAAAATGTCTCCTTCTTTGCCTGAAGCTACCACAGTAAGACTTAACGGACCTTGTGTGCCTCTGTAAAGTCTTTCCAAGCAAACCCAATCCAAATGCCAAGGAAAACTCCAGTTCCACACCCTCTGGCTGACCTTGCACACACACACACACACACACACACACACACACACACACACACACACACACACACACACACACACACACACACACACATACACACACACGTCTCCGGGAACATTGTGAGAGCTGCAAGCCTGAGATGACAGAATAACACACACACACACACTGGCTGCAGGAAGAGGACGCAGAGGGTGTGTGTTTGTGACCTTTCCTCCCCAGGTTCAGGGTTGTCGTGGCGATGTGGATCACACAGCATAACCCGTCCCACGCCTCGTATTCAATATTGGATGAACGGTTCAAATATTAATGGTGACACCACTTAGCTAAGGGTTAGCGAGGGAGGCAACCCCGAGCTAACGTGTCTGTGTGGGTGTTTCTCGGGTTGACACGGCGAAAGAGGATGGAGTTGCTGTTTCTAGGCAACCAAACAGTCAGCGGCGAGCCAATCTTGCTGCAGTCACTCACACACACATACACATACACATACACACACACATACACATTTGCAGGGAGAGCCACACCTAGCTGTGTAAGTCTAAGTCCCTGCAGTGGCAGCAGCATATAGCGCAGACGATGGAGAATGTTCTTATTCAGCAGGAACTGGAGTAGTGTCAGAGGAGGGGCAGTGAGTGAGGGAGGAATTATATCTTAGTAATTGGGTGATATATTAAATACGCACTTAAATAAATCAGGTTGTTAACCTTGTTGATTTATCCATATGGCTTTTTTATATGCTGTGGACCAAAGACCCTCTCAGAGTCACGTACGTCTCATACTGGGCAATTCAGGTTGTGGGTCTTTCTCAATTTTCGGATGTTGGTGGTTCGATCCCCGGCTCTTCCACTTAACGCAGCGGTCTCAAACTCAAGGCCCGGGGGCCAAATCCGGCCCGCGACTTCATTTTATGTGGCCCCGCAAGAGCTTGCAAAGAATATAATACGTTTATTATACGGTTACATGCCGCTTTACAGAAGCAGGTTGCCCATAAACTACATGTCCCACAATGCATCTCGTTTTGTGACATGCGCACTGAAGAGACTTGCAATTATTTGCCCTGGACTTCTGCTTTCAGACATAGTTAATTACGAAGTTATTATCCTATCCGATAATAATCCAATTCAGAGGCAATAATGTAATATAATACATTATTTTATATATATTATATATTTATATAGTTACAACCGGCCCTTTGAGTGCAACCATTATGCGAATGTGGCGAGTTTGACACCCCTGATTTAACGTGTGTGTGCGTGTTAGCAGATATTCTATATTTCACAACCACTAACGCCTTTTCAGCCATTGCTAGTTACAAGCTAACACGTATGAACAAATAAAATACGCTAACTACACTTCTGATACGTCTGCTAGTCACCGATTTGGGTGAACTAAAGACTCCTGATCTCAGTCAAAGATGTTTCCGCTAAGGAAGAAAAGGATCCTTAAATTATCGTTTTCGGTTCACGGTCTAGTTGTTGAGCTATGTGCCGCCATCTTGATGCACATTGTTTTTCACAGAGCAACCTAATGCTAGCAGCGGTGGGGCGAACGAGGCCTAATCCAGAATATCTCAACGAGTGCATGTACTTCTAGCCCCTTTTTCTACATTTCTTTGATCTGATTGACCATTTTAAACCAAATATAATTCTATTTTATAAATCATTTAAATCCTGTTTCTGGGATAACTTAAACTAAATACCTTTTATGAGGAGATTTTACTGAAACAAATCGCTCTTCACTCTCTTATTCTTTCTTTTCCTTCGTTTTGACATTTGTTGGGTTCCTGTGTTGTGTGTTCCTTCAGGAGAGCTGCAGGAAGTGTCACGTCCAGTGGAAGCAGCACATGGGGAAGACGTGTGAGCAGGTCCTGGAGAGAGACGAGATCGGCATGAGGGTGCTCTTGTAAGTAAACGAGACAAACGGACACTGAGCCGACTACGCTAACGATCAGATGAGTCTGTCATATACAGACTCCACAGGATTATATCAAGTGTTATATTTGGGTCGAGCAAAGGTTACAAAACTCTTGATACATACATATAACGATGCTGCTAAGAGATCTATTGTTATAAATTAAGATAAGTTAAGTTGGACCTTTTTTAATTCAGTAGTTTAAACGGCAACAGGGTAAGATTGGAAATCAGGACGGCACACATTCACACACAATTAAAGATTATACCAGCTTGCAAACAAGAACACATCTTAGAAGACGTTTCTCTCGCTGTCCTCTCCACTCCTCACCCAGAGAGGATGCTGGGTAAGCTCAAAGCTCAGTTTCACGGACAACAGTGCAGGAAGTGGAGAGGCCGTCTGCTTCCTGTGGCCCAGGAGGCACACAGGCAGTACTTCCTGTTTTGAGCCCAAACACAGATCTTCTTACTTCCTTGTGTTGAAAGAGACAGGAAGTGTTCTGGTAGAAACATCAGAGCAGCTGATGGTTCTAACAGGACAGAGGAACATTATATAATCCCCTAAATGCAAAGAGCTGAAGGCGCATCAGTGGACAGACAACAGAGCTATAAGAGGGGGTCCGCGGGGTCTTAAAAAGTATTAAAAGTTGATAAATCAATTTAGTGAAAATGAAGGCTATTAAAAAGTATTAAACGGCATTTTCCAAGGTATTACATTTTGTAGCTTGTTTTCAATAAGTATATAAATGGTCCAAAGAGGTTGTATTCTACAGTGTGCCTGAATGTAATCATTGCGTAGGTGTGTAGTGTGATTCTGTGTAGTTTATTTATGGCATCCCGTTGGATGTGACGTCATCTGAACAGAACATCGCACGCTCACTGCTTGATAGCGCGCGAAGCTCCGTTTACGCCGGTTGTTAAACAACATCGTTATGGGGAAATGCAAGTCTGCGTCCAAATGGTTGGAAGATACGGAGGAAGGACAATCAATACTGTATATAGTCAATGTGAGGTGAAGTGTGTCGCCAAGGTAACCGGTTAGAACTCCAAGTGGCGATGAGGTCTTAAAATGTATGGAAAGGGTCTTAAAAAGGTCTTAAAAGGAATTACATCTGACTTCAGGATTCCTGCATATACCCTGCTTTTATATCAAGACCTTTATATTTTAAAGGTGGATTCTTCTTGAGTTAAATGATCCCCTAGATTCACTGAAAGGAAGTGCCAGAACACTGAAATGAGAAATGTGTCGTTTACCTCCAGATATCCGAGTTCTTCACAAATAAGATCACTCGAGTCATGAACGATGAAAACTCCAATCAAAATAAGTATAGACAGAATAATAGAAGGCACAGTTTTGAGCCACATCAAAGGAAATATGACTAAAAACGAGATATAAATCTCAAGAATATCATATTTGATTTAATAAAAGGAAGCAAAAACAAAAGTATTTCACCTTTATTTAAAATAGTGTTGCGGCGATACTTCATTCAACATGTTTCATGTGTTTGCCACTGACACTAACTTTTTGTTAATGCCTACAAGGAAATACTAAAACAAAGCTGAGCTTCAGATTTTAAATATTTCACTTCAAGAAACACAAAGAAGACTCTGAGACATGCAGAAGAAGGAAGTTTATCCGTCTCGTGTTTTTATTTAGCGTGCTACATGTGTCTCCTTTATTTGGATGAAAGGAATATAAAAAGTTAGAAAACTGCCGCTAGTTTAAATTGAACTATTCACATATCACACTGTAACTTGTATTCACGTTTTATTATCTTTGCTTTAATGTTTCTAATGTCTTTCATTTTTATAAAGCACTTTGAATTGCCTTGTGTTGAAAAATGCTATATAAATAAACTGGCCTTGCCTTATTTGTCTCCTTATTCATTTATCTCCCCCTCTGTCCCCAGTGAGGAGCGCATGACGGCGGCCCGGGTGAGGAAGTGTGTGAAGTGCGCCACAGGCCTGGTGAAGTCCGAGGGCTGTAACCGGATGTCGTGTCGCTGCGGCAGCTTCATGTGTTACCTCTGCAGGGAGCCCATCACCGGATACAACCACTTCTGCCAACACGCGCGCTCGCCCGGCGCTCCCTGCAGACACTGCCGCAAGTGCTCGCTCTGGACCGACCCCACGGTACACTGACACACACACACACACACACACACACACACACACACACACACACACACACACACGCTCTTATTTTGAAGGATAACATTACTCATTCATTCCCTATAGAGTGGTGGAGTGACAACCCAAAGGTTAGCATCCCAAGGGCTCCCTCCCCTAAAAGCCAATGGGATTGCGAGTCACTCAATGGGAGTATTGCCAACAATTCAGATCTATGGCTAGCACACATTTATGATACTTACACGTTTTGTTCAGCAGGATCATCTCCACATATTAACCACCTTTATAATAGTTAAGGCATAAATGCAATCTCTAGATGTCAAAGGCTAACGTTAGGCTATCACGGTCACATGACTCCACGTCACTACCGCTAAGCTAAAGGCGGCTAATGTTCAAAACGGAAAATCTCTTAAACTCGTGATAACCACAGATTAAAGGCGTCTAACCAAGAATGGTTAAAAAAAAAAACGGTTGACTTTGAGACGAGGGAACTAGAAGTGCTGAGACGCTAACTCATTTCCAGGTTTCAGACTCATTCCTGCGCCACTCTATTCCTTGTGTTGCCCTCACACAGAGATGCTCATTAACTCTCGCTGCACTTTGACCCTGACCATCTGATTCTGTGGTCGCCCACGGTTACCTGGCTGCAGTGTCCCTGGCACCCAGAAACCACAATTAGTCCCGAGCTGTTAATGAGCTGGAGACAACCCAGAAACTCCAGAGAGGAGACAACCGCCAGTCTCCCGGCGCAATGCCAAGAACAAATAGATAAAAACTGGTGACCACAGGGCCTTTAGAAAGGAGACGGCTGCCTTCATTTGATTATTTTAAAAGGTTTTTGTGTCAAGAGTGAGAGTAGGAAGATCTGACTCATCTAACTAGCTTTATGTTGGCATTAAAGTGTATTTCATTAGGTCACAAATACATCAATATTAGGGCTGAACTGAATAGTTCAAAGCTTTATTGCCATTCATTCTAGATCGACTTTGAAATATGTTATGTGTAATATAATTTGTGTAGAATAAGATTAGAGTCGTAGCTGAGTAACATCAATATCTTTGCCGTTTTAGCCTTTAAAAACGAACATTTTAACTATTGTCGAAATACTGTTTGTCCTCTTTGAACACAAGAAAAGGCAGACCATATAACAGACATCACATTCAATAGCAGATGAGCATGTTTGATTCAGGTCTAGTTTATTGGGACTACATAGGCATGTTGTTATGACTAACTGCAGCACCCCCCCTCCACATTAGCTCTGACCTCGAATTGTTCGGCAGACACAACAAGCCCGCAGCTAAACGAGCACTATGTTGGCTGGACCTTTTTATACATCTGCATCACAAGCTTCAGTCCTATCTGCCTTAGAGAATGTAAAATGATGTTTTTGTTATTATCGGGGTACAGCAAGAGTGACATTCACTCTCATAATGTTGATACATTTTTTGTCTGATTGGAAATAAGTTCTGTGTTTTTGTTTTTGCAGCAAGACGACGAGCGAATCATTCAGGTGATCCAGAAGGAAGGAGAGGCCGAGCTGAACAAGAAGAGCTCCGGTCAGTAGAGAGTCTGATGCTCACTGGGAACTGAAATCAATGATTTTGTAGGAACTGTTGAAACTATTGACAACTGCTCTGTTTTTCAGTTTGTTTTTCTTAAACTGATTGTTGGCAGGGACATATTGCACTGTTGCATTATTATTCTTTGTCTTTACAACAATATTTATAAACAGGCAGCCGAGTGCTTCCTGTGTTTGGTTTGTCTCAAAGTGTTTGTGTAAAGAAGGCGAAGGAAGTCCGACATCAGCTAGAAAACCGGACAGGAAGTCCTTTACTAACCCCCCCCTTTCTTCTTCTTCTTCTTCTTCTTCTTCTTCTTCTTCTTCTTCTCCTCAGATAATTCGGGGAAGCGGGTCGGCCCCCCCCCGGAGCCGATCACAGAGGTGAAGCGACCCAGAGTGGGCCCGGCGGCAGAGGACCCCGCCCCGGCCCCCCCCCCTCACCCGCTGGCAGTCCAGGCTCCCCTCTTCGTCCCCCCCCACGCTCAATTCCCCCCTGCTCCTCCACCGCAGGGCATGATGTTCCAGCAGGTGATTCTACCCAGACTACCCCCGGCCCCCTACGTGCCCCTTCTACCACACCTGCCCCCCATGAACAATAACAACAACAACAACCATCACCACCACCACCACCATCCAAACCTTCCCGTACACCCGCCTCTCCCCCAAAACATGGACATGATGGACCTGCCGATGCACTACGGCCCCCCCCACCGCTACTACAGACGCTTCTAACACACAGTCCTGCTTCTCATTTCAGTGCCGTTTTCCACAATATTTTGTATCGATTCCAGCGCGCATCAACGTTTATTCCCAGTTTATACAGATATTTTTGAGGACATAATTTAAAAAGAAAAGAAGAACTGTTAGCATTCCCTTCTCAATCTTTTGTGTAACAGGTGTGAGACCACACCGTTTTCGAATAAAGAGTCCTGTTAACGTTGGCTCGAGTTTCCAGTTCATACGAATTGTACTTTTTAAAGAGGACACATTCTCCTCATGTCCAGGTCCATATTTGTATTCTGTGACATGTCTCCATGCTGTAATGTTCAAAAAGCTCTTTATTTTTCTCATACTGCCTGTGCTGCAGCACCTCTTTTCACCTGAAACGTCTGAAACCAGAGCCCAGTCTGCTCTGATTGGTCAGCTGGCCGGCTCCAAGGCACAC